TTTAAGTTTTTCAAGTGTTTCAATATTTTTGTACGCTTTGTTCGAGATAGAATTCTATTATTTGATTGAGCTCAAATTCGACTTCTTCAAAATTCTTCAAACTTTTTTTTGAATGAAAAATATAACTCTGATTAATATGTAATCCAATGGTATCAGGCTCAAACTCAGAGAAAACAAGCGCAAAACAAAGAGGACATGTGTTTAACATAATCCTGGAAAGTAGGTGTTTAGCACCACTAATAAAATCTCTTATTGGTCTCCAGGCAGAGTCTTGATCGATGATGTCTGAATCACCTGGATCAACAATGCTAAGGTACGACACACGAAAATATTGTCCAGTCTGTCCCAAGATCAACATTGTTTCCATTGTAATGATGAACCCCAACCTTAGCAAGCATAGCATAGTACTCAATCTTAGACTTCCTTAGAGTCTTGAGAACGGTTTTGTACTCAAGTGTAAACTTATCACTCTTCATGACTAGGGCTAACCTGTTGTTTATGCTCTCATGGGTCTTCTTCGTCTTCTTCCCCGCGGTCACCATCGTCGATATGCAAAATGCACTCGAGCTCAAGTATAATTCTTCAAAGTTTAAGTTCAAGCTCAACAACTCGAGCTTGACTCGGCACAAATGCACTCCTAGTAAAAAAAATCCCTTTTTGGTGAACCGAAGCTCATTGATCGGTCAAAAGAACAAAGAGAAGGTCGAATGTCAAGGTTCGTGCGGAACCATTTAGATTTGATGATTTTATTTGAAGTGTATCCGTTGGGAACTCCTATATATAACCCATCTCCATTTAGAAAATGTAACTTCAACTTTTGGCACTCTGATACACTAAGCTCTCATACTCTCAATTCTTATGTCAAGAGTAATTCTTAATTTTCATTCATATTTAACTTCATTTGATTCATTTTATTCAGTCATTAGAGTCTTACGTTCTTTCTTCCCTTGTAAAACTTCAACAGCATGGTGATGAATCTTTGAGTCTAATAAGGTATCATTTGAATGTTCTGTTCTAACAAGAATTAATGCTAAGTAATAAACAAAAACAAGGTGAACAGAACAATATCTAACCTAACCCAAACTGCCGTTTAAGCGCAATCACGAAGTAATAATAATTTTGACTTAGTTTCATAGTTTGAGTATCCCACACTTGAAATATAGTACAGTAAAAGGTTTAATCAATTACTAAAGCATTTCGTTTCTTGATACTTGACTTCATGTTTTGCACACCAGGGCATGGGAACACGGTCAGATGCTCGTTCCATTCTTCCCAAGTTCCCGTTTCTTGGCCCGCTCCATCTTCCGTTTACGCCACTCTTCAAGAGCTGAATGTACCAATAAATAGATACTCCATCAATTGATGGGAAACATATAATGCTGTTTGTATCTTAGATACCTAATTGAATCGTGACTATTACGATAATCAATCAATTGGAACACGGTATATTTTGGAGTGAAATATTTGACATCTTTACATAGCATTACATCACTCCTACTTTGTGATATATAAAGATAAGTGCTCCTGTTTGTGAATATGGCCATTGTTTTACTCCCATCCATCGTAATTTCTTTTAACTTAACCAGAAAAAAACAAAGTTTCCACTCCAAACGAACAACTGAGAAAGTGAGATGTTAACTCATTGACATATATGACTCCACTATGGAGTCAAACAGACATTCTGGCCACATAATAGTCATTTATTTTTATATTGGAGGGTTTACTATAAAAATGAATGATGGCACTGAGGCCACATATTGTCATATGACTTCATAGTGGAGTCATATAGGGCACCATAAAATTTCCCTAGCAAGGTAAAGAATAGTATATGTTGCCATGTTGGAATACACATATTAGTTGTTGTATTGAATATGCACAATGTTTTGCACCTATATAGGAGTATGAGCTTTTAAATATATGTTTGGAACTTTGGATCATAGGAAATGCTAGGGAAAGGAAAGAATTGCAAAGGAAAATCATTTTCTTTTTTTTGGTTTGGTTTACCTTGGTGAATGTGAGGGAAAAAAGAAAGATTACGATTTTAAAGTTTTACATATACTTAGATTTCATAGTGTCCATATAACAGAGATATACAAATAAAATGAGTATTTACAAATATTTAAAACGAATTTTAACCTATCTTTTATATTCACCTACAGGCTACATCCCCTTGTAACTTTTTTGTATGCTATCTTTGCTTTTTTTCTTTAGTATTTTACGGGGTCCAAACGGACACTTGGGGACGGGAGTGAAAAAGGCCACTGTCAACACATTGTGTTTGGAATATATATTACCTTTTATGCCGCTAGCATCAGAATAAGAACGGAAGTTGTTTATCCTAGATACCAGGTTTACTGCAGCACCTTGCTTTGCATCCTTATGTTCAGCTGGTTCTGCTTCAATGTATGCTTCATTTTCAATTTCCTTCACCTGATAAGTTAGCAAGTATTTCTTATTATAAGTCTCTCTTATTTAAAAGAGCAAGAATTACCTATAGTCAGTAGTCCCTTATCAGTATACAATTAGGCTATCTTTGGATCCTAGAAAATGCTAATGAGAGGGGGGAGTGCCAAAGAAGATTGTTTTCTAATTATTAGTTCTTTTTACATTTATTTAGCTCTCTTATACTTTGCATGATAGGCATAAATAAATGAAACGAGGATCCACAAGTATCCAAAATAAATTTATTGAGTTTTATCATATCTTTCCCTCACCCCACATCTTCTTCCCTCCCAATTTTCTTCAATATTTCCTTCAATCCCCCTACTATTTTCTATTATCCAAACAGACCTGAAAATGCAGAGGAAAAAATAAAAATAATTACTAGTTTATTGTTTTTTACATATACTTAGGTTTCTAAGTCTTAATATAATGGGCATAAAAATAAAACGAGTATCAATAATGATCAAAAATAAATTCATTGAATTTTATCCCATCTCATCCATCACTCCACATCTTCTTTCCTTTCAATTACCCTCATTGGTTTCCTACCTCCCTCTCCCCCAAGTATCTCCTTTTATCCAAACAGACCCTTAATACCAGGAGATGAGAGTAATGTGACTATAATACCACACTTACTCACTCTTTTAATTAGATCCACAGGCAACATTGCGAGACGAATCTCTTCAGATTCCTTAATATACCTTTCAACTGCGCTTCAAAGTATGCACAAACATTAGTAACTCCCAAGTAATTTCTCACAGCGGAGCAAAAAGGGTTTTTAAAAGATAATCTGAAAGATGCAGATCCTGAAGTTGAAAGACCTTATAGTTCTTATCTAGATATCTTCTGCATATGTTTTCTCCCATTAATTTGCTGTTAAGGGTGAATCAGGTAATTGCATACCTAGTCTCCGCCCAATTACAACCAGAATCTTGCTTACACCAATCCAATTCATCACAAACTCAATCTTACTTACACTTTTACCTCAAAAAAAAAAGTAAAGCAATATGAAATACGATTAGTGTTGTTAATTTTACTAATGATTGATTTCGTATTTTTTATAATAGAAATAAAAGAATAAGATAAGATTGAACAAATATCAGAAAGACAGAAATACATTTGAGAGAGTTTGAATGCCGGAAATCTTGTTATAAAGTAAAACTCAGAAAAACAATGGTAAGAAGAAGATAGAGAACACAATCATGTTCTTGGAACCTTAACAGAAAATGAGAAGAGAGGAAGGAATTACTGAACCTGACGTAGATTTGGTGGAAGGGGAAGCAGAAAAGAAAACATTTTGAAGCAGGAAAAGGGCGGCGATAAGGTTGAGCGAAGAGACCAAAATTGTCGCGTTCCTGTACGACCACCTTAACTTCTTCCACCAGGGCTGCTGCTGTATTTTTTCCATGTCCACCCCAGTAATGATTTGGAAGAGAAGATCAGTAAAGTAATCTCACTTGTTTGTCTATAACGAACGCAGTTGTAGGTTTTAGGAATGTTTTCTTTTGGAGTCAAATTTGTTGGTCTGGTCGGGTCTGATCTGGTCTAGTCTGATCTGGTCTGATCTGTTAAACGTCTTATTTATGTGTATTTTATAACTATGGAATTCTGATCTGGTCTGATCTGTCTGATCTGATTTGGTATGGTCTCGTTTGGTTTGGGACTGAAAATAGTTCGAAAGAAAACATTCTAGATACACAACTAATGTGTACAAAATGTGTTTGCAAACACCATTATGCTTTTGTAATTGGTTTTGGGAAAAAATGCTTAATAGTAAAAATTGATACTGTTTGAGATAAAAGTGATCCCGAAAAAGTAAAAGTTCGTAGAGTGTGATAAAATAAGTGTTTTTTGTCTAATAGAAAAGGTGAAAACAGTTTAAAGCACCCCTCAACTTTTTTCCAGCTTTTAGCTTTTAAGTGTTTAATTTAAGCAGAAGTTATCACTTGAAAACACTAATTTCAGCTTTTTAAAGCCAAAAGCTGAAAAACACTTAAATTTTTGCAAACACTCCCTTACTAGAAACGGATCAGATGGGACTTGAACACATTTGCTTAAATCAAACCAAATTTTGTCAACTGTAAAGTACACATATGAAAGTAATCTATCACACTATATCAGAAGCAGAATAAGAATCAGTTTTCATAAGTTGAACTCCCCCAGTTTCTAAAAAACTGATTCTTAGAGTAAATAAGGGCACCAGAAGTACTTCTGCACTTCCACCCAAACACTCCAACTTCTGTTTCTACTACTTGAAGGAACAGAAACAGTTTTAAAAATCAAATCCAAACACCCCCTAGTTCCTTATATTATAATATAAGCTGATTTCTTTCACACACAAAAAAGCCAACATAAATAAGCCTTTTTTCCTCAAAAAAAAGTCTACATTATAAACTATAAACCCAATCTATCGGGAAATCCCATTGGGCCTACTTCATTTATAATCAAAATATTTTTTAGTTTATTTGTATACTTTTATCATGTTTCAAAAATATTACACAAATAGACATGAAAGATATGTCTACTTTTTAGTCTATTGACCGACAAAAAAATAATTGCTCACATACGTGTGTAAGATGGGGTGTACAAAAAAGTGTGTACAAAAAGAATTTGTGTAGACTAATTCTTGGCGCACAAGTCATGTCTATATTTTATCCGTGTCACGGATAATTTTTGCATTTTTAAGATGGATCGTAACTACAAAATATAGGGGACGTGGGACGTCTACAAATGGGCATGCAGAAACGTAATTTTCCATAAATACACAGTATACACTACAAACTACTCCTACCTTAGTCTTCAACATTACTTTGTCACCTGATTGAAGTTGGAATAGATTAAAGTGATAATAAAGTGTCATAATCTGGGCACAAATGTGTGATTTCCTTATTGATCTCATCCTCCCTGGACTGTGCAGAAGCAATGACATTTTCCAACTTAGCCATTTGCTTCTTCAGCTCATCAACCTCTTCAGCAATACGTGCTTTCTCCATCTTGTGCTTCTCCTTTTCACCACGGGTTTGAGTCAACAAGTTCTGGAGATGTTCTTTTTTGTCTTTATATGACAGAATCTCATTTAAGTGACGGCGAGCAGGCTCAACATTGAACCCTTGAGACTCCAAAACGCAGAGTGTGTTCAGCATTTCGTCGATGGTGCTTCTAGGACCATCAAACCCCAAAAAGCGAGCGTCATCAATTATATCAGCGAAAGTTGTCATGTAATAGATCATCAGTGGTTCACGATAACTGTCCTCAATATGTTCAAGCGGCTGAAAATGTGGCTTCTGTGGATATTTCTGGAAAACATCTCGGGATTCTATTTTGTCCCATTGACTTAATTTTGTCTTCTTGAATGGAAGAAATCTGCTTTGGAGATGTTCACTTACAGAAGTAGTAGCTATTTCAAGAACTTCTCCTCCATTGCCCGTAGCTGGATGATTTTGCACACCTGAATTCTCTCCTGATTCACAAGTCTCATGTACAGCAGCAGCATCTGGAATTTGGTGAGGTTAGTACATCAGGCATCTGCCCTTTCCCCTTTTCCTCAGGGTCCGTTTGAAACCCGCAAAAGGCTAGGGAAACCAAACATGGAGAAAATTATAAAAGAGATCTGGAAGGAAAGAAAATGTTGATAAATATAAAACATTATTTGAAATTTAATAAATTAAAATTTATTGCTCGTTATAACTCATTTTTTAAACAACTACTAAGAAAACTAAATTGTAACTGTTTTAGAAATATTAGTCATATTTCATGTCATTTGCACTTTCTGAGTTTAAGCAAAACATGAGCAAATAACTTCCTTTAACATTTTCTTTTCCTTTCCATCTTTCTCTTTTGAATAGCAACTTGCTAGCATTTCTCAGGATCCAAAACACAGCCTGAGTGTATTATTACACTTGCTAGAATTCCGTGCACTTCCACTCTGTCTCTTTTGAATAGCAACTTCTTCAACTTCATTCCTACTATTACTTCCAGTTTCTACTTGATCACCACCCATTTCACCTTGAGCAGCAACAGAACTAGTTGGAATTGAAACTTTTTGTCCAGATGGGATTTCCACAGCTTCACATTCATTTCCTGCCTTTTTCTTACATTTGTTAAGCAGGAGAGGATATGGCAGTGGCAATTGATTTGAAACCTCTCCTTCCTTTTGCAGCAACAATTCTGCTAGAGGACGACAACGCTTCTTCTTACTTCTCACCAGTGAAACTGTCACATTTCCTCCTTGGCTGCCAGAAGCACTTTGGGTCATCATCTCCTCCTCCACATCATTGATGTTTTCCCCAATATCCTCAAGGGCGGTATAGTTACATGGCGGCCGGACTGGTTTACCCTCAGAAGTATACCATTTTCCATCTTTCCAATTCATGTGAGGTCTTAATTCCAAGTGATTGAAAACCCTCTCCTCATCTTTCCTCTTGTTCTTTTTCTCATGCTCAAAGACAACAACATACCTACTGTCAGTAAGTACTTCCCTTATCACTCCAAACCACCAGCCAAAATCATAAAACGCATCTACTTCCTCAAGCAAATCAAAATTAGTCTTTGTATTATTTTTTAAGAGGGGAGAGGGAGGGCATGGTCGGATATGGCTGCCATCAACAGCTACTCTAATTACCTCTTTCTCATTTTCAGCGTTCGCTCTGCAGCAATTGACCACGAATGCTCCATTCCCACGAGTTTTGACCACAGTCGAAGGAAACCAAGCATCTCTACAATCATCTCCGTCAAAGGAGACTTCTACCTCTTCCCCAACCCTAAACATCGTCAATGCACCTCCTGCGGCAGATTTGTCCTTTTCGGGCTCCATCCACTTTCCTTTGACCCACCTGCGATGGAATCTCAAGTCAGACGGACCGAATTCAAGCTCTTCCGGCGGGTTGCGGAGGGTGACGAGGTAGCGAGAGGAAGATTCTAGAACTCCGGTCACGAAGCCAGTCCACCAGCCACCCTTGTAAAAAGCATCAACAATGTCGTAGAGCGCGAAACCCTTGTTAGTAGTATGATTTGGAGGAGGGCGGGGACGGATGACGTATGGGCTGACGAGCTTTCTTAAAGGCTTGTTTGGCTCGTCATCTTCATCATTGTCGGAAATGAGGGTTTGATACTCAACATAGACCTTCTTCTTGTTGTTGTTGGAGGAGGCCGATGTTGGGAGTGATGAAAGATGAGGATCCGCAGGGCCGAGTACGACTGCCTCGAACCAAGCTCCAACAAAGCCTTCTTCTCTCGAGCGGACCTCAACCAGCGATCCTTCAGCCAGTAGCTTTGAGACACTACCCATCTTCTTCTTCCACCTGGTTTAGGGTTTTACCTAGAGATTATTTTCGATTTTTTCCCACGGCCCTATCATCACTTAGCTTGCGGTACTCTGTCACTGATTTACAGAGGAGACATGATAAAACGAAAAGTAATTACCTTGGAAAATGATAGGGGTACACAAGTTGTACACAAGTTGTACACAATTGGTACGGAGTTGTCTGTGTACACAGACAAATTTTGTCTGTTTTCACATACATTTACTTTTTTGTAAAAAGTACTTGTCAGTGTCAGACGGCTCTCAGTGTACTTTTTACAAAAAAGTAAATGTCTGTGGAAACAGACAAAATTTGTCAGCGTACACAGACAATTCTTGTCTGTGGTCACAGGCAACTACGTACTAATTGTCTGTGACCGACATTGTGTGTACAAGTTGTGTACAACTTGTGTACCCCTAGCATTTTCCTAATTACCTTAGATAAAAGAGGGGAGAAATTCTTAAACATGACCATAAATGTTTTATTCCCCAAATATGATCATATTACTCCGGTTTCAAAACCTACGTAATTTCCCGTTCCATATTTACCCCTCTTTAGTCGATCGATCGAGAATCTCTTTTGCGCATAACCTTATCCCTCTCTCTCCTGCGCACCATACTCCATCTTCCACTCTTCTCGATCTATTCCTACTCCGCAATATAGCATATCAGATCGTCTGCTCTATCTCTGCACATCAGATCGATCAACTTCACCACATTGTATGTACGCTGTCGTCGATTTCATCCTTAACCATCGCCGACGACGAATCCACCGCGCGCACGCCGCCGTTTGGTAAGTTTTCTTCTTCGTTTTCTTCTTCTTCCTCCTCCTCGTCCTCCTCCTATTATTCTAGTTTTTGGCTTTGAAACCGATTTTTCCGATTTTTCCTCCATTCCTCCGTTTTTTTAGTTTTGACATTTGATTTGTTGATTTCTGGACTTCTATTTCAAATTTCCATTTCTTGATTTCTTGACTTTAAAATAACACCAATTTTCCATATTTTTGGACTATTACATATGATTTTGCCAAGTTTATGGCATATGTTTGGATGATGACATACGGTTTTGCCAAATTTATGGCAGAAATGTACTCTGATAATCATATTATGGCAAAACACTTTTTTTGTAATTTTTTTTATTTTTCTTTTTTGTCTTTAAATTCTTATTTCTGTTAAAGTTATTGTTGTATTAATTTTTTTCATTTTTGAAAGTTTAGTTGTGGACTTCATATTTTGCCAAGATTATGGCAGTTTTGAGTAACTCGGTCAAGATAAATCTGCCAATTACATGGCAAATCTGTCATTTTTTGTCATTAGCTTCATTTTCTGATTTCTGATTGTGAACGTGCTTATTGTATTAATTAATTTTTTTTTGAAATATTCCGATACTGAATTCATATTTTTGCCAAATTTATGGCAGTTGTGTGTTAATCTTCCAAATAAATTTGCCAACTTTATGGCGGATCTAAAAATCTGCAAACTTAATGGTGGTGATGGCGGCAGTGCCAACAAGGGAGGCAGTAGGTGGTACCGGCGAAGACATCGGCAGGCGGCGGTGGCATGCAGCGCCGGCGAGGGTGGTGGAAGACTGTTGCAGAGAGGGTGGCTCGAGGGTGGTGGAAGATGGTTGCAGAGAGGGTGGCTCAAGTCATACGAAAGCTCCCATACGCGTAAAAAGTGGTTAATTAGACTTCAAGGATAAAGTTGGAAAAATAGGCCCTTTTAAGTCTTACGGAACATCGATTATATTTCTAGTCCTATTTGTGCACATGAAACTAATTTTAGTCCTATATAGGTCATTAACTCTAAAACGAAATTGGATGATATTATGATAGAAAAATGAGAAAATGGTAAATATGGTATTGTTTCGACGGAAGTAAATAGTACTTAGACTGTAATTTGTCCCAGACCAGACCAGACCAGACTAGTTCAGACCAGACCAAGTCATAGTTATAAAATACAAAGAAACCAGGCCTTACCAGACCATACTAGTTCAGACCAGACCAGACCAGACCAAACCAGACCATCAAATTACAGTCCAAGTAAAAACATCCTCCATCTTGCATTTTAAATTTTACAGTACATAAATTTGTGTTTTTGTTATAGTCGATCAAGTACATTTGTTCTGTCAGAACGTTAAAATAGTCGTCCTTGCTAAGCTTGTATTGTACAGTTACAGTCCAAGTAATCAAATATTCAAATAATTAATCTATAAACTCTGTTTTATTCTGATCCACTCATTCACATTCGCTCACCATCTTATATTTTTCTCATCTACTCTCCATTATCTCCGCTCTACATCTTATATTTCTCTCGTCTGCTTCTGTGCTATCCCGCCGGCTTATTTTTGCCTACTTTATTTTCTACTTCTTCTCTTGTTATAATAAATATGGACCGATAGCAATTAAAAGAAGAGGAGATCAGCAAAGGCAGAGCTAGAGGGGGGGGGTCAACCTAGGTTCTGGTTCACCGCAAAAAATTAAAAATGCTTTAATTTTTAAGTAAATAATTCAAAAAAAAATATTTGTACTAGTCTAATTCAGCCATGTACCCTAGTTCGCCCTTAGAGAGCATACAAGAGAAATACAAGATGAAGAGCGAAAATAATGGAGAGCAAATATGAGAAATATAAGATGAAGAGTGAAGGTGGAAACGAGTGGACTGAAAAAAATTAGAGTCTATAGATTAATTATTTGATGACTTGAATTGCAATAGTATATTACAAACTGATAGTTTGATCAGATCAGCTATTTTAACGTTCTAACAGAGCAAATGTATTTAGGGGGTGTTTGGAACCAAGTAACATTAACGTTACTTTAAAAGTGCAAAAAATTTGGAACCAAGTAACATTAATTGGTCTGTGAAACCTCAGTAACATACTGCCGTAAAAGTGTAAAACAATGAAAAAATTTTAAATTAATTACTGTACATACGAAAATTAGTTTTTGTCATACTTTAAAACTCCAGTTAAAAATAAACAACATAGCCTTGGTTACATTCATCCTTCCATTTCCAAATTCAACAAAAAGTAAGAACACAGGAACAAGCGATATTGGGGAGAATAAACCAAGATACATCAAATTCAATAAATTAATATTAAGACATTCCTCACACTCGAATTTCAAATTATCAAACTGGTAAAAAAAGGCGATATCCACATTTCCAAATTGGTAAGAAAATTTTCATAGACAAATTGGTAAATAAATAAAGCTCTGGCTATAAATTAGTCAAACTTTTGTAAGTGAGATATTTTAAGTCTCCACTTTTAGAATTCCCAACATCCAGTCCCCTAAATATTGTGGAATTGACATTTTTGTTTCTTCTCATGTGATTTAATCATGAAAAGTGGATGATCAAAAATTAATGTCAACGAGAGTGTTTGACTCAATGGTTGCACTACAATAAATGTTACATTTCTTGACACACATATTTGTTGACACTTAAAAAAGTGTTATAATATCTAGTATATATTGACACATTTTCGTGACAAGATAACAATTTCATTTCTATTTGAATTTACATAAACACTATAAATTGGTTCTCGTGACTTACGAAAAGAGTACGTATTTGGTTTTGTTAGAGTTTTGTTGACCCACTTCATTTGCCGACACACTTTAATTTTTAAAATTGATGTTAAAGGGATGTTAAGCAAAATCCCTGGACGACATTTAAAAAAATACGGAGTATTCTTATTCTTAAAGATAAAAAGGAATTCAAAAGAAAGAGAAACACAGCAAACCAATCGGCGGTTTCGGCCAGAAGAAAAATGACTTAAACTCTTCAATCGGCGCTTATGGCCGGACTGCTCACGATCTTCACCGTCGCAGACTCACTATCAGCCATAACACACAGTAGAAGATCATCCTCGACTCCTCGATCATCCTTATATGCGGATTTGTGCCATCTCAAATCTTACTCTGGATTTTCTCCGCTTCCAGACTTATCCTATTTCCGTCAATTAGTATAAATCGGTATTTCTACTACTTTTTGTGGTCGCTTAATTTGAACTTGAGAATATATCAACTCGACTGATGTTGTCTTTTCTTATTTTTGATATGGATGCTTAATTGATCTAGTTTACACTACAGCGAGTATCTATGGATCTTCAATTTGTTGTGAGATGGATTGCCTTTAAATGAATTTCTATATAGATGTTCTTAATTTTATATATACACTAATTGGCAGATTTGGCCTCCATTATTTGATAAATTTTCCAATGGAATAGTAATATGGATTTTGAATTAGACTTTCCAAAAATAATATTCCGTTTTTATATGCAGATTTCCCAATCGAATAGTAGTCTCATTAGAAATTTATGAAATTTATTAAAAATATTTATTTCATTATATTCCATTTTTATGAAATTTGTTAATTTTACTCTATGGGTGTCCCCTTTCAGTTTCAGCTACTAGCATAATAATGACTAATAGATCTTGGATGTAATTTGGCTCCGTGATCAAGTGAACAGTTCGTATAAGGGGTTGAGAGCATTATAAAGTTTGATTTTCAGTGATACACATAATGGGTAGATGATGGAGAACACTGAATGTCATGATCTTCAAGTTCTATGCCTAATGATGAAGACGAGGTTCTTGGTCATGATAGGAAGGAACTTATTGGATGACTTGTTTCAATCAGTCCATGTTTCTGCATTGCTTATGGTACTCTCTCTTTGAAGTCAAATACCCCAAATATCCCTTTTCTTTGGCACAGATTTGTATTTAGTTGCCTTTTGTTATTAAAGCTAAGTAATATTTAATTGCCGCAGGCTTCAAAGGATAATGGTGTATTACCAACACGTGGAAAATTATTCATTAAACTCTGACTCAAAAAGATGGCACTTTTATCAATTCTTCTACAACAACAGTGGTGGTAATATGTTTTTAGATTATTTTTCTTGTGCAGGTGTTTGTTAAATTGTGTGGAATTATATTCTTTTCAAATGAGGCTCTTAAAATGGTGTGCTTTATTGGAGAAATGACGATTTAGCCAAAGTGAAAGGTCTAAAAAAGAGGGTGAATTCGTTGTGTAAGATTTATAGTTCTAAACATATTTAAATACAGACAGGTCAGAGTTGATGCAATCATAATTTATTCGAAATGGATTGTCTAATTTAGTCAGATCCTTTTTTGTGCACCAAGCTTCACATCAAGCATCTCCGAACGACCTAACCCCAACAAGGCCCGAGTCACATAATATAGAGAAAAAAGGCAGCAAACCTTTGATAGGAACTATCAAAGCCAGCTAGAGCGATTTAGGTTATTTGATCATCATTATTCAATTTCACGTTAATTATTTTGTTTCATGTTTCTTTTTTCAGACTTCAATTATGAAAGGCAACAGGTACCATCTCGAAGGTCAATTAATCATTCCTTATTTGATTGTATTCTGTTTCTTCCTTTTCAATTTGTCTTAATTATTATTTATTGTGGCTTTCCTATATTAGTTCTTAAATTTGATATTCAGAAATTTAATTTGGACAATGGAAACCATGAGCGAGTGAGAAGGTAAATTCATCATTCCTAATGTAATTTCACGTTATTTTTGTTTCTTTCAATTTTATTACTCATATCTTGTGTATAGAGTAGTCTTCTACATTATTTTCATTTTACCTAAGAGTATTGTTGTTCACATTTAGTAGGGCCTGTTAGCTAAACAGTAATGTATAAGATGTCAATTTTTACTTTTAGTTTGACTACTCTATCAATTCAAGTAGCTAAACATACAATTTTTACAGTAATCTATAAGATATTACTTTACGGTAATCTATAAGATCCCAATTTGTACTTTTAGTTTGACTACTCTATCAATTCAAGTAGCTAAACATACAATTTTTACAGTAATCTATAAGTATTACTTTACACTTTCAATTTAAGTACTCCTTCAATTTAAGTAGTTATAAGTTTTGGCTATAGAAGTACTTTTCACTTATATTTTTGGAATCAAAAACTCTGCTCCACCATTAATATGAAAAACTCTGCATAGCTATGAATTAATTTTCACTTATAAAAAAGTTTTCTAGATTTCTCATCTACTTTTGATTTTTGTATTTTTTGCATTGGGGGTGCTGGGGGATGAAGTATTGTCCCCTAGCCGTGCCATTAACTAAAACTAAATTTTCACTTATTAGATAACATATCATATACGAAGTATTATACATTTTTCGTATTGTTCTGCTTTGCAGCCTATATCTCATTTGATAGATGAATCTGATTCAGTTCAACTTCATTCAGGTTTTCAGATCTTTCTTCAAGTTTCATACCAAGAGGAATCGGGTTCCTTCATATTGGATCGCTCTAGCAAAAGGGGCATTTTTTAAATGAACCAAGTAAATTTAATGAACCATATATTTGTTGTTTTCTTCAAGTAATTTAGAATGTGTGATTTGGTTTAGTTTGACTGGAAATATAAATTCTGAATCTTTTATTATTATTTAGTTTTACTGGAAATTTACTTATAGTCAATAACAAAGTGAATTGCTCCAGTGTTCTTTAAACTTCCAATTGTTATGAATTTAAGTAGTTTTTTAATTGCAAACAAATTTATTCTGTTCTGAATAGATTTTGGAAAATCTGGATTAAAAAATGATAATAAGCATCATGACTATTAACCAATGACTATGCCTTTATATGTATATGGTAGCTTTGAGAAATTAGTAATAAGGTGGTTGTTAACCAATGCCTATGCATAAATTTAGACATTGAATGTAGGTAATGGATTAATTTCATTAATGTAGTGCATGTGTAGATTACAATGTATTTATTGATCATGGGGTAGACTTTATTTAATTTTCTGTTGTGCTATTTACAGGCCATTGGTGAACTTTCTCCTACTACATGATCGATCATCAACCGGAAGCCATCAACTCAAAGAAGCCAATTAAAGATTTAGTATATAGTTCATCATGATCGAACAAGTTATTTCAATTTGCATAAGATACAATCTTGTCTTGTGTACTTAATTTGTATTAGTCTTATAGATGCATTTGAATGAAATGCTAAAAATTTATTTCAATTTGCAAGTTTCGGTATGAAGATAATATCTAATATCCTACATTGTTATTACAGAATGTATAAGAAAATAGAAACAAGTATTATTAATTAGCATATGATCTACTACAGTTATTGGACATGGTTTTTCTTGACACTCAATAATTATGTCATCTTAAAGCTTCCTCGACACACAATTGTGTGTCACTAAAGGTCTATAAGATTCACCAACACTTGTGCTTAAGTGTTAAAGATTGTTTTTACTAACACCTCTCCTCTTGACACTTTTTGTGTGTGTTGGCAATTCCTTCAAGGGGGCTATCTTGACACTTTTTCCATTTTTTCTAACACTTTTTGTGTGTCAAGGAATGTTACTTTTCTTGTAGTGTTGGTTGCTAGCTGATAGCCAAGTGAATCAGAATGTTGATACTAACGGATTCTGTTAGCTATTTTAACTAACCTCTTTCATTAGCGATTTAAAGTAAAATGTTGACTAACTTAGATTATTGCGACTAGCTGTTATGACGTAAAATAACTATTTTGGACGATACTTACAATTGTTTAAGACGATACAAACAATAATTCCGGTGAGCTTACATCTCTGGGATTGTTTTGCGGTGACTTTTATTTATAAATTTTAAGTTTTATTTCTTCATAAAGACAAACTTTATCATTATTTAATTTAAGAAGCCACAAACTGTTTTTATATATCAAACAATAATTCCGGTAGTTCATCTCCGGTTTAGGTTTCGGGCTACTCTGATCTCCATCTTTGGGAAATCTTAAAAAGTGAAAGATGAAGTAGGAAAGATGAAAATGATAAAGATGGTGTGAGAATAATGAGAAAGCAGTACTCCCTTAGGAGCCCTGACAGATATATTTATAATAAAATATCAGTTTCCAAAATACACAATATTCCTAAAATATATCAGCTATTACACCCCCTCAAACTGTGCAGGAGATACAACGCGCAGGTTGTCTTTTAAAAAAAGAAATTGCTGACTAGATAAACTCTTAGTGAAAATATCAGCTAACTGAAGATGAGTAGGAACATATTTAACAATTAAATCGCCATGTGCAACTCTCTCACGAACAAAATGATAATCTATCTGAATATGCTTGCTACGAGCGTGCTGAACTGGATTTGTTGTCAAGTAGGAGGCAAAAATATTATCACAGAAAAGCTGAACAGGTGCCTGTACTGGAAGGCCGAGCTCAAACAGAATAGATCGGATGTGTAATGTGTCTTGTACAGTGTAGGCAATAGCACGATATTCCGCCTATGTAGAAGATTTGGATACCGTAGGTTGCTTCTTGGATTTCCATGAGACAAGATTAGGACCCAAGAAGACCGCAAAGCCTATAGTAGACCGAGAACTATCCGGACAGCCTGCCCAATCAGCATCCGAGTAAGCCAAAATACACAGTGGGCGAGCCGATCTCTGTAACCATAATCCATTATCTATGGTGCCCTGGAGATAACGAAAAATACGCTTGACAGCAAGCATGTGAGTAGTACGAGGAGCATGCATAAATTGAGACATACACTAAATGAACTGCAAAAGTAATATCAGGTCGTGTCAAAGTTAAATACTGTAATGCACCTACCATACTGCGGTACCCAGTAGCATCAGCTAAAAGCTCACCATCAGTGAGAGAGAGTGTGTGGTACGAGTAGCAAGTGGTGTGCGAACAGACATGAGAGTGTGTAAGTGAAAGCGGAGAAGAAGATCAGACACATATTTTTGTTGAGACAGAAAAAGACCTTTAGAATTGTGAACTGCCTGAACACCCAAAAAATAATGAAGATCTTCAAGATCTTTCATGGCAAAGTGAGACGCTATGCGGGTGATAAAAGATGAGACAAGAGAGGAAGAACTACCCGTAATAATAATGTCATCAACATATAATAATAGATAAATCACAGACGGATCCTGGCGATAAATAAATAAGGAGTTATCTGACTTGCTGCATGAAAAATTATTAGTCAGAAGAAAGCTGTTGAAAAATTATTAAGGAGCTTGCTTAAGTCCATATATGGCTTTTCGCAGGCGACACACATGATGAGGGAATTGAGGATGAATGAATCCCCGGGGCTGACGCATATAAACCTCTTCTGTAAGGTGACCATGAAGAAACGTTTTTTCACATCTAACTTACGCATAACCCACCCAAAGGAAATAGCAAGAGTAAGAACAATACGAACTCTGGTAGGTTTTACAACCGGACTAAAAGTTTCTGAAAAATCCACACCAGCCTGCTGATTAAAACCTTGAGCACCAAGACGTGCTTTATGGCGCTCAATGGTTCCATCAGAACAAAATTTAATTTTATAAATCCACTTAGACCCAACCACATTTTTAGTACTATCAAATGGAACTAAATCCCAAGTATTATTAGTGATAAGTGCATTAAATTCATCTGTCATAGCCTCACGCCAAACCAAACTTTTATGAGCCTCAGAAAAACATGTAGGATCAGTGCTAACAACTGTATTTAATGTAAAAATTGATTTTGGTTTAAAAATACCGAACTTAGCTTGGGTTTGCATGGGATGCATATTATGAAGTGGGGCGGTTGAAGCATTAGTGGAGGTGGAGATGTGGGTCGTATGAGGGCTGGACGAACTGACTGGAGGCTGGTCGGGCGGAGGAGTGACGGTCTGGTCGTGTTGAGTGGAGTTGTAGGGCGAAGCATGACTGACGGACGAACTGGCAGAAGGTAAAGGCCTGAGACTAGGCTGGCCGAAGACAGTGTGCAGCGGACTGGGAGTTCGGTGTGTGGTTTTAGGACTAGGAGATGGCTGGTTGGAGTAAGGAGTGAGAGGTGGTGTCTGATCGATGGTTGGAGATGCAGGGCAGGGCACTGGTGAGCTGGAACATAGTGGCAGAAGAGCTGTCGGTGCTGAAGAGTGTGGCCGAAGGGTGTTGGTCAACTGGAAGTCAGATAGGGTAGGTGTAGCGAGAGACTCAGGTGTGGTAGAACTTAGAAGAGGAAAAGGAAAATTATTTTCTAAAAACTTAACATGACGACTGATGTAAATTCTACCGGACTTAGGTTCAAGACAACGATAACCTTTATACCCAGATGCATAGCCAATAAAAACACAATGAACAGACCTGGCTGAGAGTTTGTTAGAGGATGTGGCAGTAATATTGGGAAAACAAGAACAACCAAACACACGCATGAAGGAGTAATCAGGTGATTGTTGAAAAAGTTTTTCATAAGGAGAAATATTTCCAAGTAACGGAGATGGTAAATGGTTAATAATATATGCAGCCGTAAAAATAGCATCAACCCAGAACTGACTAGGAATGGAGGCTTCAAGAAGCATAGTTCTAGTAAGTTCCAAGAGATGTCGATGTTTACGTTCAGCGACCCCATTTTGTTGAGGTGTGTTAGGACAAGATTTGCGAAAGTAAATGACATGATTATCAAAAAATTGCTGCATATTAAAATTAACAAATTCTCCCCCTCCATCACTTTGAAATACCTTAATCGTAGTATTAAAAAGATTTTCAACTAAGGATTTAAAGGACTGAAAATGGCGAAACACTTCACTCTTATTTTTCATGGGATAAAGCCAGGTAAAGCGAGAAAAATCATCAATAAAACAGACATAATATTCAAAACCCATATTTGATAAAATAGGAGACTGACAAACATCCGAATGAATTAATTGCAAAGGAATAGAACAATTATGACTAGCATCCGTAAAAGGTAATCATTGAGATTTGCCCAAGCGGCAAGAAATACAATTATGGGAAAAACTAGAGCTACTACAAATATGTTGTTGACTATGTAAAGTACGTAAAACAGAAGTGCCACAATGGCCTAATCTACGATGCCAAATGGGTCCAGAGGTAGTGATAGACGACAAAGCTAGTGGTGATGGTGAACTGAGGCTGACTAGATAAAGATGACCATGACTAGGTGCTTGAAGAAGAACCGCCCCCGAGAGTTTGTCCTTAACAAAAAAAGAGTTTATAAAAAATTACAATACAGTTGTTATCAGCACACATTTTTCGAATGGAGAGAAGATTAAATTTAATATGAGGCACATGAAAAACCGATTTTAACGTGAGAGGACAGGTAGAAGAATTTAAATGAACATCACCAATATTAGCTATAGATAATTTAGATCCATTTGCAGCACTAACAGAAAGTGGTCCAGTATAAGGCAATTTATTAACTAAAATACCTTATGTAGGAGTCATGTGAGCATATGCACCCGAGTCGGGATACCATAAAGCGGAACTTGATTCACCATTAGTGGTAAGTAGGGCTGGTGCAGATGGCTGATTGAATCGTGAAGGAAACTGAAGAGCAGAATGACCTACATTGAAACATAATTGACAGACGACGGGTGGTGGAATGGACCCAAGAATTCCCTCACCCGATGGAAAGCCTGCATAGCTAGTGTGAGTATCACAAATATAGAAGGGATTAGCATTTAAAGTTGACAAAACAATATTACTAGCAGAACCTGTAGTGCTCGATGAGGATGATGGCACCCCCTGGAACGGTACTGGTGGCCTACCGAAGACCGGACTGGAGGAACTTGGCTGCTGTCCTCCAACAAACTGTCCGCCTGGAAGCTGCTGGCCGGGTTGTGCTTGCTGCATGCCTCCATAAAACTGCTATTGTCCGTATGCAAGCTAGCCGCCGTATGGCTGGGGTCCTCCTCGACCTCTGCCGCGGCCTGCACCTCTGCCATGCCCCCCTCGTCCGCGACCCCCTCTTCCGTTCATATACTGTCTGGGGGGCTGCTGTCCAGCAGCGGCAGAAGCTGCAAAAGCTTGATGACTAACTGAAAGTTGTTGTTGGCGCTCCAAGAGAACACATTGTTCTTCTTCCATGAGACGCGGTTGCAAAATATCAAACGGAAAATTCTGAGGGAATAGCGAGACAATGGTAACAAAGGATCGATAGTCGGGACACAAGCCAGCCAGAATATATTCAAGGAGCTCCTTATCCGAGACTGGGGAATTAATTGCAGCAAGGGGATCTACTAAATTCTTGATTTCTCGTAAATAAGCTTCCATAGTCTGAGTTTCTTTCTTTTTGATGGTTGACAATAACCGTTTAAGTTTCATGCTTTGAGGTAAACTTGCAGACATAAAACGAGTCTGAAGTCTAGCCCAGATAGCAGCAGAATGTTTTAA